AGTTTATTTCATTTCTCTTTATAATAATTTTATTATATTTGTAGCTATATGAATTTGCAAGAAAAGGAATTTACCCATTAAATTTTGGTTTGGCTATTAGAATCATAAAATCCAGTGAAGCATTATTATCTAATGTTTTCAATAATGATCCAAAAACTTTGTATTGTCAAATGGATTTTGTATCCGTTCTTGATACTCCTGGATGGGAAGAATATGCACAACTAATTGCGCATAGATATTTTGATAAGTACAAAGCAAAGTAAGGAATAATCTAATATTTTTTCTTTACAACAAATTTCATTAATTAACTAATTTTACAAATTTATTTACCATAGACCCCATTGGGGAAAAGAATGGGAGTTTATTCCAAATGTTAAATCTTATCTTTCTGATGTTTTATCAGTTCAAATTAAACAATTCGAGAAAGTACGCGCAAAGTACGACCCTGATAAGATTTTCTTTGATAATAAGTCTTTGCAAGATATATTTAGTTATGCTTTATCTTCATAAAATAATAAAGGCTCAAGGAAAAAGAAAAATTAATCACGATACTAAGATTAGTTTGTAATCTAATATTTCATAGAACTAATTAATCGATCATAAAGTATGTAAAAATAGTTTATTAATATAGATTAATAAAATTATGTATGATATGGGCTGAGTGCTACAGAAAAGGGGAAATCACAATTTTTATGTTATAAATTTTATAATAAATCGCAAATTTTAAAGATCTACGCTGCAAAATTTATTAATACAATTATTTTTGTGTCTTAAGTGAAAAATGATCTTGATCTATTCTAAATTATTTTATACAAAAAATTAATCTGAGATGCCAACGTGAGGAACGACTAAGTTGAGGTACTCACGTGATTTTGCAGACTAAGTTTCCAACGTGAGGCGAACAAACGGGGACAGTTAATCGAACTAGCCTTTTTTTCAGATGTCATGTTTGGTCCAACCCTTTTTTTTATTGCATCTGCGCAATTTCCTTTCTTTGAATTTTCGCTCTATTTTTCGGATTTCGGGGGTTTGGATTCGCTTTTTTTTTTAGATTCGCTTTTTTTTGGATTTGCTCTATTTTTTGGATTCGCTTTTTTTTTTGATTCGTTTTTTTTATTTTTTCTTTTTTTTTTTAAAAAAAAAACTGTTTTTTTTTTTTAAAAAAAAAAAGCGAAATTCAAAAAAAAGAAAATCCAAAAAAAAAGCGAATCTAAAAAAAAAAAAGCGGATTTCGCTTTTTTTTTTTTTTTTTTTTGATTCGGTTTTTTTTTCAATTTTTACAGATCTCTTTTTTATGAAAAACTTCCATACTTGAACATGTTAAGACAAGCGGATTCTCAATCGGGTATGTATGTAAGCATATAACTATAAGAATCTTTCTTTATCGAACAATAGGAGCTTATCATAGTACATTTTCAAAATATAGGCGTGAAGAACAATATGGGTACGGCTTTTCACCTTTTAGATAGAACATGTTCTTTAAAATAACCCATTATAGACAAATTGGGTTTATCTTTAACCTTTTCTTTAAATAATAGAAAGCCGAATTTGGTTTATCTCTAACCTTCTTTTTTAAATAAAAAGAGACGATTCCAAAATTTTAAAACTATGTATACAATTTTTTTCCATACGATATAATGAAGCGATGTTAAACATTCGCCCTTGCATTATCTATATAATACGGCTTGAAGAGCCCATACTTTCATCATTATTATGTCTTTTATTAATGATATATATACTATGTATATACTGATATATTTCGTGATTATAAATATGACAATAAAGAGAAAAAAAAAAAAATTCTTAAAAAAAAAAAGAATTTTTTTTTTTTTAATTTTACAAAAAAAAATCGTACGATGGTTTACGAAGCTGATTTTCCGCAAACACCTGAAGCATATCAGGATATCATTGTCTACCTTCGTAGCAGAACCATACCTATGTCAATAACCCCAAAAAACTAATAGAACTTTAAGCGCAAAATGAAACTGTGGCGTCTAGAAAATGGCCATCTTTATGCTCAAATTAAGAATCAACCACTTTGTCGTTTCGTCCCCGTGTGGGACTTGGAGTTTCGTCAATCTTTGCTTAAACAGTTTCACAACAATGATCGTCATATTAATGCGAACGATTGTCATAAAAAAATTATGGTGCTCCATATTGGCATCACAAAAAAAGAAGTTTGTGAGTATGTTTGAAACTGTAACATCTGTAATCGAACTACCTCGATTAAAGAAAAAGATGACCTAACACCAGTTGTAAGTTACGGTCCAATGGAACACCTTCAAATGGACCTCGTGGATTTCACGGCATACAAAGATATGAACGATGGGTTTTCTTGGCTTCTTACCGTGGTTTGTATCTTTTCGAAATTTTTGTGGGCCATTCCAATTAAATCAAAAGAAGCCAATGTCATCAGCGAAGCTTTGATTTCTTTATTTTCGCAATGGGGAGCACCATCGATCTTGCAATCCGACAATGGTAAAAAGTCTACCGCCACCGTTACTAAATGTATTTGCGAAGCACTTGGGATAACAATTCGACATAGATATCCAAGATATCCTATGTTTTAAGGACAAGTCGAACGTCTTAACCAGATGGTTGGACATGAATTTACAAAAAAATGCTGTAGAACAAAAAAATGCAACTACAAAACGTTAACTGGAAAGACCATTTATTAAAATTTGTTTTTTTCTACAATACCACCCAACATAGTGCTCATAGAAAAACCCCCCATGAAGTAATGTTTGGCTACAAACTCCTCGGCATATATCAGCAATCCAATCCTACCGATCCCATCAGCTTTCAGGAAATAGAAGTACAAGAAACATTAACAACATCTCAAATTGTAAAAGACCATCTAGAGAAGGTTTCAATTATTCACAACGAAGTCAACAAACAACTCAAAAAAACAAGAAAACGAATGCAAAAAATTCAAGTGTTCATCGCTACAAAAATATCTACGAACCTGGCCAGTTGGTTGCAATTGCCCTGATACCGATATGAATCTGGCAACTTAAAAAAGAAAGCTTCAAACCAACTTTATGGAAACCAGAACAATAGTTGGTTTGACTAACAATAACAAGACCATTGTTGTTGAACTGTCCGAAGGTAGTTCTATGTGTTGTCCCGCAAAAAGGATCCGGCATATCAAAAAAATAATGAAAAAAAAATGATACCATATCGTCTAAATCTTAGAAAAACTATTTTTTTTTTTTTAAGTCTTTTTTTTTTCTCTATTTTTTAAGCTGATTTTTTTTTAACTTGTTTTTTTTTTTTTTTTAAGACAGTTTTTTTGAATTTTGTTTTTTTTTTTTTTTTTTTTTTTTTTTTAGGATAGTTTTTTTAGACAGAATTTTGGGGGTTGGGATGTATTAATAGGGCTTATATATGGGCCCGCTTCATGTTAGTTTTCATACTGCAGTCCCGGAATATACTATAAATGAATAACGACGATCGCACCTTTTATAGAAATAGAT